ATTGAAAAAGAAAAAGCTGGGGGCAACACGTTGCCCGATTTCAAGTTATATTACAAAGCTGTGATCACCAAGACAGCATGGTACTGGTACTAAAACAGACATATAGTCCAATGGAACAGAATAGAGAACCTAGATATGGACCCTCAACTCTATGGTCAAATAATCTTTGACAAAGCAGGAAAAAACATGCAACAGAAAAAAGACAATCTCTTCAATAAATGGTGCTGGGAAAATTGGACAGCCACATGCAGCAGAATGAAACTGGACCATTCTCTAACACCATTCACAAAGATAAATTCAACTTGGATGAAAGACCTCAATGTGAGGCAGGAATACATCAAAATCCTAGAGGAGAACACAGCAGAAACATCTTTGACCTTAACCCAAGCTACTTCTTATTAGACACATCACCACAGGCAAGGGAAACAAATGCAAAAATGAACTTTTGGGACTTCATCAAGATAAAAAGCTTCTGCACAGCAAAGAAATAGTCAACAAAACAAAGAGGCAACCCACAGAATGGGAGAAGATATTTGCAAATGACACAACAGATAAAGGGCTGGTATCCAAGATCTATAAAGAGCTTCTCAAACTCAACACCCAAAAAACAAATAATCAAATCAAAAAGTGGGCAGAAGATATGAAACGACACTTCTCTGAAGAAGACATACAAATGACTAAAAGACACATGAAAAAATGTTCATCATCATTAGCCATCAGGGAAATTCAAATCAAAACCACATTGAGATACCACCTTACACCAGTTAGAATGGCAAAAATTGACAAGTCAAGAAACAACAATGTTGGAGAGATTGTGAAGAAAGGGAACCCTCTTACACTGTTGGTGGGAATGCAAGTTGGTACAGCCACTTTGGAAAACAGTGTGGAGGTGCCTCAAAAAATTAAAAATAGAGCTACCCTATGACCCAGCAATTGCACTCCTGGGTATTTATCCCAAAGACACAGATGTAGTGAAAAGAAGGGCCATACGCACCCCAATGTTCATAGCAGCAATGTCCGCAATAACCAAACTGTGGAAAGAGCCGAAATGCTCTTCAATAGATGAATGGATAAAGAAGATGTGGTCCATATAGACAATGGAATATTACTCAGCCATCAGAAAGGATGAATACCCAACTTTTACATCAACATGGATGGGACTGGAGGAGATTATGCTCAGTGAAATAAGTCAAGCAGAGAAAGTCAATTATCATATGGTTTCACTTATTTGTGGAAGCTAAGGAATAGCATGGAGGACATTAGGAGAAGGAAGGGAACAATGAAGGGGGGTGAAAATCGGAGGGAGAGAGGTACTATGAGAGACTATGGACTCTGAGAAACGGGGGGGGGGGGATCGGTTAGCCCAGTGATGGGTATTAAGGAGGGCACGTACTGCATGGAGCACTGGGTGTTATACGAAAACAATGGATCGTGGATCACCACATCAAAAACTAATGATGTATTGTATGGTGACTAACGTAACATAATAAAATAAAATAAAAATAAAAATAAAAAAATAAAAAATAAAAAACAAACAAGAGCCAGACACAGACTCATAAATACAGAGAACAAACTGATGGTTGCCCGAAGGGAGAGAGGTGAGGGGATGGGCAAAATGAAAGAAGGAAAGTGACAATACAGGCTTCCAGTAATGGAATAAATAAATCATGGAGATAAAATATACAGCATGGGGAATATGGTCAATAGCCTTATATAGTGTAGCTACACTTGTGATGGACAAAGCATAATATCAGACTTGTCCAATCTCTATATTGTACTGATTTGAAACTGATACAACATTGTGTGTCAACTATACTTTATATACACATCATGAAATTAGCAACAAAATAAAAGTATAAGTTTAAATTGAAAAAAAAATAAGCCATAAAAGTGAATGATAAGTTTTGTTGGTACATATTCTATGACCTAATAACAGCATTACTCTTGATGGGTATTAGAGTGGTTTCTAGTCATTTTTTTCTTAAATTATGAACAGATTGATTAAATAAATTATGGTATTCATACAATGGAATAAAATGCAGCACTGAGGGCGCCTGGGTGGCTCAGTTGGTTAAGCCACTGCCTTCGGCTCAGGTCATGATCCTGGAGTCCTGGGATCGAGTCCCGCATCGGGCTCCCCCTTCTCTGTGGGGAGCCTGCTTCTCCCTCTGCCTCTGCCTGCCACTCCCCCTGCTTGTGCTCACTCTGTCTCTCTCTCTCTCTATGTCAAATAAATAAATAAAATATTAAAAAAAAATGCAGCACTGAAAATAACTCACCGCTACATGTAACAATAGGGTAACTTACAAGCATAATGCTGAAAAAGGAACCAGCATAAAATTATCCATACTTTGTATACTGTTTATATAAAGTTCAAGACAGAAAAAACCTTTAAAGAAGGTGGACAGAGCAATGGTTGCAGGGCGTAATGTTTGAGAGGGGACATGAGGAAGGGCTGTTTAGGGCTGGCAACATTCCAGTTCTTTCTTTTTTTTTTTTAAGATTATTTATTTATTTATTTGACAGATAGAGACACAGCGAGATAGGGAACACAAGCAGGGGGGGTGGGAGGGGGCCGAGCAGGGAGCCCGGTATGGGGCTCAATCCCAGGACACTGAGATCATGACCTGAGCTGAAGGCAGACGCTTAATGACTGAGCCACCCAGGTGCCCCAACGTTCCAGTTCTTGGCTTGGGTGTTGATTTCACAGGTGAGTTCAGTTTATGATAATTCATCAAGTAGGATGCTTGTGATTTATGTACCTTTCTATATGCATATTTGAATAAAAAGTTTACTTTTATACGTAGTTTTTAAAAGTTTTTGGCAATTCATATTGGTTAGGATAGTTTTTCTAAAGTTGATATGCTATTTGAGAAATTTGCAAAAGAATCCTCCTAAAAATGCTAAAATGTTGGCAAAACAGAAATTGACAAGAGTTCAAAGGAAATCAGTATAAATGGGAAAACTCCCATTGCAATGCAGACATTTTAGATAAAGTCATAAGAATAATATATTCGTGAATATATTCATAAGAATGTTTACATTTGAAACCATATTCATCTTGACTATATTCAGTAAATGTATTCAAAATGAGAATCAGTAAATTTGGTATATCCAGCAATGAGCATATTCATAAGAATATATTCAAGAAAAATATGTTTCATGAATATATTCATAGAATTGGTAAATCTGTCAAATTTGGTGAATTGGCTTTTGGCAAATTGACCCAGATGCCCTGCTGGAAAGTGGGGAGGGGAGGGTGTCAGCAGCTTATCACCAGCTGGGATAGGCCAAATATTAGCTTACCAGGAATATTTCTTTGAACTGGAAGGAAAAATATGAATTCCAACTCCTGCACAATCCTCTTGTCTCTGCCCCTACTCAAGCCACTGACCTGACTGTGTAAGATACAGCTTTAGCCACCTCCTTCTGACTCTCAGAGAAGGAGACATCCAGACCATTCTAGAATAGTTAGCAGCCATTACCATCCAAAACATGACTTGCTCTGCATAGCTTGATGGAGACTCTCCTGAGCATTCAGTGACTAACTCTTAGGGAGAGTTTCAGAGTGGGCTCTGAGATTATCTGAGATTAACCCTACCCAGTGGCTAAGCTACTCTGATTCCAAATGGCAGTTGCTCACATTTGCTCCACTGACCCAAAACACACAAATGGTTGAGCAAACCTCTTGGCTATCCCTTTATCTGTGCCTCACGCCCCAAAGGCAGTCTACGGGAGGATAAAGAAGATTGTATGAAGGTAGGGATTCACCCATCACCAGGGCAGAAGGTACTGCCAGACCTCAGACCTGCAGAGTCACTGCTGATCTCGATCCTTCTCCCTCAGAACGATTAATATTTACAATTACACCCAGCCTGCAGTTCCCTTGTGTGTGTGAATGCATATGGGTCTGGGGGGACCCAGACTGCAGAAAATGTGTGCCTCCAGCTCTGTCACACACCACCTACCCCTACCCCCAAACCTCCCTGAAGCAGCTCCAGGAAGCGTCATTCTCTAGACTGGGCATCCCAGGGAGTGCTGGCCAGCCCTGGTGTCCAGCAGAGGGGGCCCATGGTCTGCTCTGCCCCCAGCCTGCCCCCCTCAACATCCTGGACTCAGGCTCTCCTGTTCCACTGTGCTGTCCTGTCCTCCCCACAAGTGAGCCTCACAGCCTCTCCTGCTTCTCTGCTCATGGGTCTTCATGGGCCAGCCTGCCACTTGTTCCCCAACTCCCTGCCCCTCTGTCTTCTGCCATCATCTGGGAAGTACTACAGGACAAGAGTAAGGGATGAATTCTGAAGAACAACATCTGTGTTCCAATCTTGGCTGTACCACTCCCTGGTAACATGGTCTCAGGCAGCATGTCCCCATTTTAGACATGAGAGAACGGATGCACCCATAGGGATGTTGTGAGAACCAATGAGACCATCCATGTGGAAAGTTTCATGCAGTGCTTGCTATATGGTTCTCATTGAATTACGAAGTGCCCATCTGGTAAAGGCCTGCGTAGGAAGGGTTCCCTAACCCAGAAAACCAGATACCTCCAGAGATTACTTTGCTAATTTCCTACTTTTCTGAATAGCTCACACTTAAAATAATGTATCCAGAGGTCTTCTATGAACTTAGTCCCTCTTGGGCAGGGTAAAGATTGATGAGCTCAACACATTCCAGGCCCTGTTCTAGGTATTTGCTATTATCATCATCTGTTCAGCATTTCTGTCCCATGCGGGGGCAAAAGTGAACAGACCTCCCACCCTGGAGAGTATACAGGCTGAGGCATAGGAAACATGTCACATGTTTGGCACATGTGCTAATATAAACAAGTGCGTATATCTACAATAATCATAGTTTTAAATTTGTCTTTGGCTTTTTTTTTTTTTCCGGGAGGGGGCAGGGATTGAGAAAGAGAAAGTTCTCCTCCATCCCCGTTCATTGATTTCCACCTCCGGGCCCTCCCACATGCCTCTTCACTCTAGGCTTCCCCACACCCTCAACCATACCTTCCACTTTGGGCTTGGCCTCAGCCAGCCGCTCCTGGAACTTCTTCTTAAAGAACAGGGCCTGCAGTCGCTGCTGGTAGTGGTCGATCCTGTGGACAGGGCAAGCTACATCGTAAGACAACCCCTCCAGCCCAGGAGCTAGCTCCAGCCCCTCCTCCATGCCCATTGCCCTGACCTGCTCATTTCATAGAGGAAGCGGTCAGCACGGGCCATCCGCTCTATCTCATGCTTGTGCTCCTCAAGGAGGTCGATGTCACTTTTCTCTGGGATGAACTTGAGGAGCTGCAAAGAACATCAGATGAAGGTCAGACAGGAAACTGGTGAGAAGCTGATATGGGGGTGCAATGCACAGATGCCCATACACTGATCATGTTCAAGATGGGGAGCGGTCCTTAAAAGAGAGAGGCATCCTCATGTGGTGGGTTTATGCTTCATCTGCCTAAAAGGGGCCACAGGGCACCCAGCTCTAGACTTTTCTTTTTTCACTTTTTAAAACTGAGATGTACCTTATATATAGTATACCGTTCATTTTTTTAAATTTAATTTTATTGTGTTATGTTAGTCACCATACAATACATCATTAGTTCTTGATGTGGTGATCCACGATTCATTGTTTGCGTATAACACCCAGTGCTCCATGCAGTACGTGCCCTCCTTAATACCCATCACCGGACTAACCCATCCCCCCACCCCCTCCCCTCTAGAACCCTCAGTTTGTTTCTCAGAGTCCATTGTCTCTCATGGTTCGTCTCCCCCTCCGATTCCCCCTCCTTCATTTTTCCCTTCCTTCTCCTACTGTCCTCCATGCTATTCCTTAGCTTCCACAAATAAGTGAAACCATATGATAATTGACTTTCTCTGCTTGACTTATTTCACTGAGCATAATCTCCTCCAGTCCCATCCATCTTGATGTAAAAGTTGGGTATTCCTCCTTTCTGATGGCTGAGTAGTATTCCATTGTCTATATGGACGACATCTTCTTTATCCATTCATCTATTGAAGAGCATTTCGGCTCTTTCCACAGTTTGGTTATTGCAGACATTGCTGCTATGAACACTGGGGTGCATATGGCCCTTCTTTTCACTACATCTGTGTCTTTGGGATAAATACCCAGGAGTGCAATTGCTGGGTCATAGGGTAGCTCTATTTTTAATTTTCTGAGGCACCTCCACACTGTTTTCCAAGGTGGCTGTACCAACTTGCATTCTCACCAACAGTGTAAGAGGGTTCCCTTTCTTCACAATCTCTCCAACATTTGTTGTTTCTTGATTTGTCAATTTTTGCCATTCTAACTGGTATAAGGTGGTATCTCAATGTGGTTTTGATTTGAATTTCCCTGATGGCTAATGATGATGAACATTTTTTCATGTGTCTGTTAGCCATTTGTATGTCTTCTTTGGAGAAGTGTCTGTTTATGTTTTCTGCCCATTTTTTGACTTGATTATTTGTTTTTTGGATGTTGAGTTTGAGAAGTTCTTTATAGATCTTGGAAATCAGACCTCTGTCTGTAGTGTCATTTGCAAATATCTTCTCCCATTCTGTGGCTTGCCGCTTTGTTTTGTTGACTATTTCCTTTGCTGTGCAAAAGCTCTTTATCTTGATGAAGTCCCAAAAGTTCATTTTTGCTTTTGTTTCACTAGCCTTTGGAGATGTATCTTGAAAGTATACCATTCTTAAGTGCAAAGCTCATTAACTTTTTTCTTTTAAACCCAAGTTTCTTGAGGTGTAATTTACATAAAATGTATCTATTTTTTTTAAATATTTATTTTAGTGAGAGAGGGAGAGAGAGAGAGAGCATGCACACAAGCAGGGGGAGGGGCAGAGGGAGAGGAAGAATCCCAAGCAGACTCTGTGCTGAGTGCAGAGCCCCCACACGGGGCTCAATCCCAGGACCCTGAGATCATGACCTGGGCCAAAATCAAGAGTCAAATGTTTAACCGACTAAACCACCCAGGTGCCCCAAAATGCATCCATCTTAAGTGTGCAATTCAAAGAGTTTGGACAAAATCACCCACTGAAGCCCCATCCAGATTAAGATACAGATTTCCATCCCCTAGAAAGTTCTCTTCTATTGCTTCAATAAGCCAACCCATCTCTCTCCCCATTATAGCCTCTCAACTGAATTCTATTACCTTAGATTAGATTTGCCTATTCTTGAACTTCATATAAATGGATTCATGCTGTGTGTTTTCTTTGGTGTCTGGCTTCTTTTGCACAACATAATGTCTGAGACTCATCCATGATCTAAGTATTGGTAGTTTGCTTTTTATACATTGCTGAACAGTATTCTATTGTAAGAATATACCACAGTATATTTATTCACTTTCTTATTGATGGACAGTTGGGTTGTTCCATGAATAAAACTGTTATAAATATTCTTGCATATATCTTTTATAGTCAATGTTTGCACTCATTTCTCTGTATCTAGCAGTGGGAATGCTGGGCAGTAGAGTAGGTTTAGCCTTTGTGTGTACTGCCAAATTGTTTTCCAAATTATTGTACCCAGTGAGAATTCCAGTTGCTTCATGTCCTTGCCAACATTTGGCATTGTCAGTCTTTTCAATTTTAGCTATTCCAGTGGGTGTGTGGTTCTGCCTCAGTGTGATTTACTGTATTTCTCTGATGACTAAGAGTGTCGAGCCACTTGGAAATTCTCTTTCATGAAGTACACGTTCAAGGCTTCTGCTCATTTTCAAGTGGAGCTGTTTGTCATTTTCACTCTTGGAGTTGAGAGCTCTTTATTCTGAATAGGAGATCTTTTTTTTTTTAAAGATTTTATTTATTTATTTGAGAGAGAGAGAATGAGAGATAGAGAGCACGAGAGGGAAGAGGGTCAGAGAGAGAAGCAGACTCCCTGCTGAGCAGGGAGCCCGATGTGGGACTCGATCCCAGGACTCCAGGATCATGACCTGAGCCGAAGGCAGTCGCTTAACCAACTAAGCCACCCAGGCGCCCTGAATAGGAGATCTTTGCTAGATGTACATAAAGCAAATGTCTTCTAAGGTTTGGCTTATATTTTCACTCTAGTGTTGGTACCCTTTGATGCACAGAGTTCTTAATTCTAATGAGGTCCAACTGATGGTGGTTTTGTTTCATGCCTTCTAGGTTTCTCTTGAAGGATCCCATAAATTGAGGTGGAAGAGATTGGGGGAATATATGACTATGGGTCACTCTGACTTTACCTTGAGACCCAAGGGGGGATCGTAGCTCATACCTCCTGTCAAAGACCTCAATCCCCTGGAAAATATGCAGCCTTTCCTATCCTCCCCTCAGAAAGGCTGGTCCAGGGAGTTTCTATAAACCTCTACCCAACTCCTCATCCTCCAGCCTGATTTCTCCTTGACCTAAGAGCCTTGGCCTCTCTGGGGGCAGGAAGGGGTGCAGCTTCCCCCTAGTTTCAGCTCCCATCCCCTCCCCACCAGGGGCCTCACCTGCTCCAGCATGTCCTTAGCAAGGTCCTCCTGTTCATCCATCTTCAAGATGGCCTGCCGGATCTCCTCATTAGAAAGCTTCAACCTAAGGCAAAACACTGCCCCTTGAGCCCGGCCTCTCTGCTCAGGACAGACCCCAGCCCTTCTCCTCCCCTGCATTCTCTCCCTCATGTGAACATGGGAATATATTCCTTAATGCTCCCCCCTTACTTTCCCTAAACTCATATGGTTCACTCCATAAACTAAATAATGAGATATTTCAGTCTCTAAGTATAGACTTGAATCTGGTGTCTTGCTTGAGTCTCTGTCATAACTGATAGGGACATTTGAAAAGGTCCATCTTTAGTGTAGACGGAGAGACAGGGTAAAATGTTTCTGATCCTTCTCCTCCTTATGCCTAAAATATCTACTGCATCTCCATGGGAGGATGGGAATATCAGCAGGCCATGAAGGGGGCCGTTTCCTGCTTCCTTCATTGTCAGAAGACAGAATAGCTCTCAGTCTTCTGATGGTGCCTCAGCTCCCACACAGCTGTTCCCATATGTCTTGCTGTCTGGGTGATGGAGAAGCCACCCCCCTCCACAGACACACACACAGACATACACACACACACACAGCCCTTCCCTATCCCCTCCAGATGCACACCACTTGGATCCCTGGAGATACAGAATTCTCTCTCACCTTCAAGAGAGAGAAACTGAGGCCTGGGGCCTGGGGGAAGAAAGGGGAATGGATGTCCCAGAGATGGCTAGGGCAGCACTAAGAATAGTATGGGTGGTGGTGCCCTCTGACCCTGGCTCAGGCAGGAGGCCTCGCACAGAAGCTGTGCTGTTAGTGCAGATACTGCCCTGTTTGTTCTGCAGCCACGGGAAATGCTTGGGGGCTGACATCATGCTGCTCCGTGGCCTAAGCCTAGTGGGGCCCTCCATGGGCTTAGAGCAATTCTGTTGCCAGATGATGACCAGGCTGGTCAGGGATGTCGTGACTGGGGCAGTTTCCTGTCGGCAGAGCCCCACACTACTGCTGAACGTGGGGTCCCAAGAGAGGGTTCTAGATCAGTGGTCTCCTACCATTCCCAGGGGACAGCAGGGGAAGTGAAGAGACTGTTGTCACCCATTCCTCTGCCACCCCTGTCCCCCAGACATTCAGTACCACTGTAGGTTTTTGCTCTAGCCCTCTCAGGGCTCTACTTTCTTGTTGGGGGGGTTCATCCCTCCCACCAGGGGCTAACAAGGCAGGACAAGCACATACTTAGAGAGAAGGATGATGCAGTTCTGTGCCCTTCGGCCGTCAATGACTGATAGCTCTTTGACCTTGCGGGAGGCCAGGTAGATGTCCTCTGTGGAGCCCAGCTCTTTCTGAAACCAACAAGCCAAGTAAAACGGTTGAGGCATGCGTGTGTTCCCCAATCCTCTCCTTACCCACCCCCCAGGAGCCACTCCCACACCAACCACGGGATGTTCCTGGTGTGAGGGGAATAAAGATGGAAAGAAAAAGACAGGAGAGAGAGAGAGAGAGAAGAAGGTGGTTAATAACCATCTCTACTAGAAGGCATCTGGGACTTTACCATAGGCTAGAATGGGTTGGGGGCAATGAAGAGCCCCCTTTTTTAAAGACTGCCCTTTCTGGACAAACTAGAGAAGGGACTGTTCCAGTGGGGGAACTGATCCCTATGGCTTTGGGCACTGTTATGGTCCCCAGCATCCCAGAAAATCAGCCCTCACTCCACCACCCTACCCGGAGAGCTTCCCCAAGCTTATGATGAGAAGCTGGTTTGAAATCCCCATCAGGCTACAGTTCCTGGACTCCTAGGTACTTCAAGCACAGCCCAATGTGCCCAGAGTAGAGGGCATCCACAAGTCCAGAGGTGGGGAAACTGAGGCAGAATTCCATGAAGAATTATCTTCACTGGGGTTCCAACAGCAGATTCCCTCAAAATCAGATTCCTTCCCTTCTCTTGGGCCTTTGGTGAGGTAGACAGGAAACTAGTTTTTACCCTGGGAGGTCCCTCCAAGCACATGCTCCCTACTGCACAATTCCAGAGGCTGTCATTTCACATCATTATCCCTGTGAATTGTACCCTTGGGATTGTGCAGTGCCCAGCCTATGCAGTCTTCCAGGATGACTTTGCCTTGGGCCAGGTAGATAAGACAATAGACCTAGATGCTTTCTCCTTAATCCAGTAGACATTCACCTCCATTGCTGGTAGGGGTCTGTTTGAATTACTTCCCTCCTCTACATTTCTGCTTTCTCTTTGGGAACCCTTTCCTGTGTTGCTTATAGGGATGAGTCATAAAGGTAGAAGGCAGAATGAATAAGCCCTCTCTTTTGACCAGTACAGGGCAGCAGCCCAGGACAGTGGTTAGAAGTTAGAGTGTCCAGAGCCCCAAGAGTGACTCACCTGCTGAGAAGGATTAGTTATCAGCTCCTAGGCAGGTAGCAGCCACAGCCAACAGAGAATTAAACATGCACAACGTTAGCCAAGAGGTTCAGGGACCCCAGGGACAGTAGGAGAGACATGGAGACCCCTGAACATTTACTCTGTCTGCCCCATCCCAATGAGACCCACATGGTTGGAGATGGAGACTAACAATTAGCCCTGGACAGGAGGTGCTTTTAGCAGACATGCACTCACAGAGAAGCCACAAAGTGGGGAGTAGACAGGTCCCCTGCCTGCCCTGGGCCCAGTGGGACCACCATTCCCCAGTTGGGGCAGGCCCGGCCCCCAAGCTTCCCAACCCCAGGCCTTGGCTGCTATTCTTCCCTCTTCTCTGTTGGGAAACTGCCCAGAGGGCAGAGAGCATTTCTCTCTGCTGGATAACTTCATCTTTCTAAATAGAAGAGGAGATACAACCAGAAGGGGCCAGAAACATGCAGAAGTTGCATTCACTGAGGCAAATAAAAGCAGGTGTCCCCAAATTTCACCCCTTTCCATTTGTCTTTTGATTTCCAAGGGAGTTAAGGGGACAGAGCCCACACCCAATTCTCCCTTTCGGACCCTGATGGAATTGAAGTCACTAACTCAGGAGCTGCAGAGGACATAGAGGGAAGATCACAGCTCATAGGACCTTCCTCCCCACCAAAACATGCACCCTGGGGCCCAAGATAGGAAGAGGAGGTCACCAGGGACCAGAGCCACACAGCCTCTGGAATCTTTCAAGCTCTGCTGCTGTGAATTCAGCCCGAGTCTGGGAGAATCACCAAGTGACAATAGTCTGATTGAGCCCAGCCCCGAAATAGGGGGTTAACAGAGGAGACAGGGGACAAAAGGGGACAGTCCACCTTAACACTTCTCCAGTCACCAAACTGAGAGGCCCCAAACCCAGTCTGTTCTAAACCCCATAACCCCTCTCTTCCCCACTGGACCCCATCCTAGCCCCACCTCAGGGCACAGAGACTGGGTGGGGTGGCCTGGAACCCTGGCCAAGAGAAAGACTCTCCAACTAGGGGGAGGTGTGTGATTGACCATGCCTGATACACCCCTTGCACATGCTCCCTCTATCCCACTTGGGAGCATCAGTGCATAGGAGCACCAAGGACTCAGAAGAGTCCCTTCCCATGCTGTTAGGCCACAGCTGCTGCCAGCAGCCATGCCAGCCTGATACGGGCAGAGGCTAAAAATGTTGCCTGGGATTAGGGTAAAGAATCAGATACCTTGAGCACCTACATTTAAATTAAATAACAATCGTCTGGTTTTTCTAGAATCCCAAGTCAGGATTAGAGCCCGGCCCCAACTCTGTCCCTTTGGCTAGGCTCCTAAGACGAGTTTCATGTGCCCTCAGGAAGGATTGTCCACAGGCCTGAACTTGGCAGAAAGCAGTGGGGAGCCCAGCCACAACATGCAGCTGCTACCCAGGGCCCAGGAAGATGCAGACCCCACTCACTGGCACCTGGGGTATCCTCAAGTGCTGGCATCCTGGGCTCAGCAGAGGGGATTGGAGAAAGTGGCACAGTATGGAAAAGAAATGACCAGAGGGAGACCAGAGAGAACACACTCTAAAGCCTCGAGGCTGGGAATGTCCAAACTGGACTTGGGGGCAGGGCCCCCAGATGTGCTAGCTAAAGTGCAGATTCCTCAGCCCTGACTCATCTTCCGACTCACATTCATGCGAGGATGAGGTATGAGAATCAGCACATTTGGCAATCCCCACTGGCACTGCCTCGGGAATGCCCCGTGTTCTGCCACCCTCCCACTCCTCCTACTGCTGCTGGAAGAGCAGGCTGACTGGCCAGCCATCTGTAAGTAGTGTCTGCAGAGCAAAGCCCAGGACTCTCCCAGCCCTGCCCAGGCCCAGACCCAACCTTAACCCCCGAACAAGACCTGGAGCAGCTCCATCTTCCTAGAAACATTGACATCCTCGGCTAACTGACTCGTGGGGGTGTTGGGAGAGTATGGTGGAGAAAGTAGTTTGAAATTTATCATGCCTGCTAGGTGTAGTCTCTAGATCCTGGGGTCAAAGAGAGAACAGTGGCCAGGGCTGTGACTCCACCTCCAGTGCTCCAAGATGAAGGACAAATGGACAAAATGCTATTCCATCATTCAGTGTGTAAATACACACAACTGTGAGCCAGAACTGGAATACAACAGGATATTTCCCCTACTGCACTGCATACCTCTAATTCTGATCCATGTACCTAGCAAAGCATGGTACCTAATAAGGAATAAAATCATTCAGTATACCTGGGAGGAAGGGAGGGAGAAAGAAGAGGTTGAGGGTTGGATTCAAGGGGTATAGGTGAAGTCAAAACTGGAAGTCAAGACCCAAGAAGATGGGGGCAGGGAAAGGCCTTACCTGGTGCCTCTGATAAGCTGAAAACATTTTTTCAAAGTCCTCTAGGTCCAGAATCCGAAATACCTGCATGTCATCAATCTCATTCCATACAGTGCCAGGGACACGTTCCTAAGATTCAGGACAGGGAGAAGACCCAATGTTTGACTCAACTCCTTCATGACGGAGAGGTCCAATGCCTCCCTAACTCCACCTGTTCCCAGCTGCACAAACTACAATAGTCAGGCTTTCAGGCCTTCAGAAAGGGGTCAATTCATCTCCCCCAAACCTTCAATACATTGTTCCAGGGCAGAGGCCAGAGACAAGCTCCTTGTCCTCCCTTTCTCATGGGGCCACATAGACGTGTGTTCCAGAAATCAAATGGAGGGCAAGAGTGATGGGTAGGCAAGTATGAAAGAGGGTATGAAACTCCTTCCTGAAAAACAAAACCAAACCAGTGTTCTCAGGGCACACTCCCTAAATGTCAGGGTTGGCTGGAGTCACTGCAACGAATAGTGCCCACACATATTTGAGATCTTCAAATCCTCAGTGCGCACTATATTTCCCGTATCTGAGATTGTCATTTTCTCTTCCATGGGGTCTTCCTCCCACTTTCCCAGATTCCCAGAAAGTAGACAAATGCCAAAGCCTGGGACATCCTGGCCCCTAGAGTGACTGTTCAGGCCAACAAGACCGCCACACTTCCTGTTGGTCAGACCCAGGGAAAGTGGCTTATCCATCATGGTTGGGATGTGTCCAAGGGTTTACATTCCAAGGTTTCTCCACCTAAGCACTGCCCCACCTCTGTGTGGGACCCTGGCACTGAACCCCCACTCCAGGGAGAGGCTCCTTCAGCAAGGCCAAGAACACCCCAGTGGTCTTCTAGCACCTTGACAATGGCTCAGAGGGCAGAGAGCACAGCCTCTTCAGGGTACTCACTTCTGTCCTCCCAGGAGTCCTTGCCTCATCCTGAGCTTTGCTGTCCTTTAAAATGGAATCTCCCACCTTCCTCTGCCTAAAGGGCAGCTGGGGAACCTTCCTAAGGCCACGACCCCCTCCTTCCTCCATCTCCCCCTCAGCAAGGCTTAGAGAGAGAAACATACCTTTCACTCACTTTTATTTTCTTAAACTCTGGAAAGGGGAGGCTAGGCCAGAGCAGAGTGGGGGGCATTCCTGTGGCCTTTCTAAGGCCAGGGACCCTCTTGTGGAATGCTGGGCTGGGAAACTCAGAGCAGCAAGGGATACAGGCAACTGGCCAAACCCAACACAGACACATTCTTTTCATGGCAGAAACAACCACTGTGTGTGTGTGTGTGTGTGTGTGTGTGTGGGTGTGTGTGTGTACACAGGAGCATGCATGGAGTAGGGGAAGGGGACAGGGGAAAGAAGCCAGGCCCCTGGAATGGGGTATGTGGGAGGCAGAGAGAAGATGTGAGGGAGAACTGAACAGGAAAGCAGGGAAGGAAAAGCTCTCAGTGGTTCCCATCTGAGTCTAGACCTGGGGTGGAGGTGGGCTCCATGGGAAATCCCACACAGGTAAAGCTTGCCACTGTTCTTTACTCCCAGTGAGGCCGGGCTAAGAAAGGGCTGGAATGTAAGAGCTGGATGGTTAACACTAGGGAGAGTTTCCCCTGAGAGAATGGACTGAGTGCCCAGCTCTCCCACCCTTCTTGCCAAATGCCACCCCATCCCCATATGCAGCCCTTCGTGGGGGTATAGCTGAGCTCTGGAGCCAGCTGAGCACTGGAGCCATAATCTATTTCCTAGTATTCTCCACATCCTACACTTCACCAAGTTGCCCTGATGTGCCCAGCGTGTAGAATGATCCTGACTTTAATCTTTGCATCACTCTAGCCAAAACCTCTTCACCTCCAGTCTAGATCCCTGGGACTTCTGCCCTCTACACCCTTTATATGCCAGAGAAATCTTTCTCCAAAACACTTTTCATTGTGTTTCTCTCACTGAGCATTTGGAGTCCAACAGAGCAAGCTAGCTTGCATTCCCAGCCTCATCACTATGTGGGACTGTTGGCAAATAGAGGGGTACTATTCTCTTCTCATTTCACATAAAAGAAAGCAGAGTCTCAGTGATGCTTGCTTACTGAGTTGAAGGATTAGGTGAGATAACACACTTAAGGCACGCATGGTTGTGCCACAAATAACTCACCTAATATTATTATGAATTTCTGTTAGTCACTATTCCAAATACTTCATATGTCAATTAATCCTCACAATGATCCTTTGATATAGATGCCATAATTACCCCAATTTTATAGAACAGGAACCTGATGCCCAAATGATTAAATAACTCCTGGTCACGTGATTAAAAGCTTGGGAGTGGGCTAATAAGTCCACAAATATTATTCAATCCCCCCCACCTACTCCTGCTGAGAAATGTCTACAACTCCCACGAATCCTCCCCATTACCCATTCTATCAGACCTGTACTTTCCAGTCCAGGAATGAAACTCTGGCCTGCTTTGGGTCCCTGAGGAATTTATATAGATTTTATTATTACTAGACCCCAGTGAAAATCCTAAGTACAAAGCTCTATTTGATGAGAATGTTGCAAATATATTAGTTGCCTTGTCTGTTTTCCTTAACTGTTAAGGTGCCTAATCAACTTTTCATTACCTTTTAAAATTTTTCAGTTATACAAAGGCAACCTACTGAATGGGAGAAGATATCTGCAAATTATATATTCGGTAAAAGGCTTAATATCTAAAATATATAAAGAACTTACACAACTCAACACCAAAAAAGAAAACCCTAAATAATCCAATTAAAAAATGGGCAGAGGACCTAACTATGCATTTTTCCAAAAAAGACATACAGATGGCCAACAGACAAATGAAAAGATGCTCAACATCATCAGGAAAATACAAATTAAAACCACAATGAGATATCACCTTACACCTGTCAGAATGGCTAAAATCAAAAAGACAAGAAATAACGAGTGTTGGTGAGGATGTGGAGAAAAGAGAGCCCTTGTGCGCTGTTGGCAGGAATGCAAACTTGTGCAGCCACTATGGAAGACAGTATAGAGATTTCTCAAAAAAAAAAATAAAAATAGAAATACCATACCATAGCATAACATATAGAGTTGTAAAACCACTATGCTGTACACCTGAAACTAATGTAACATTGTGTCAACTATAATAAAAAAATTTAAACTTTTTTCTAAAAGAAAGCAAAAAAAAAATCTTTAAGTTTTAAGTACAGGAGATAATTTTTTTTCTTTACCACAAAGAAGTATATATATTATTTCTGATCATGAACAGTGAATGTTTCCACACAGACTGTGGCCTTTGGTTCTGCAGAGCTGTTTGTCCGCTTGCCTCATGACTGTGGGGAAGGACACACAGGGCACAGCTGTGCAGTGCAGTTGTCACAAATGTCAACCATGTGGCTTCAAAATTCTGATAACAGGTGGCTCTAAAATTTTACCAACTTAGATTGGAGATGTTATCAGAAGCTCAGGAGACTGTGGGCTATATTCATGCTTTGTCTTTCCACCTTGATTATAAAACCAGAGATAGAAGGAATCTTAGAAATCTCACAGATGAGCAAACTGAGGTACAAAGTGAGTGATTTATGCAGGTTGCACAGTTTATCAGAGCCAAATCCGGTTTAGTTAAAGGTTAGAAATTCCTCTTCAATCCTTCCCTAGGATCTCTAGATGTTTCCTTGAACAAAATTCCTAATTTGCCAGATTCAAAGCTCTTACATGGCAATGCTTTGTTTCACCTCTTATTATTATCTATCACAACCCCCAGCAAAAAGCTTTACACAAGGTAGCCCTCAGACTGACTGGCTAGCTGGTCTACCATTATGAGAGCCAGCTAACACATAGCTGGCCACCTATTTCACAATCTCACATCTCTTCCCACTTGAATCTCCATCTGAGCTCATTTGAGCTTGCATAGAATGGTACAGTTATGAATTCCCCAAGAGTTAGACCAAGAGGTTCATACAACAAGGTCAGAGGACATCCATTAGTCCCAGCTCCAAAATGATGTCTTCATGGCTGCTGCTGAATTGTGTGTATGGATCAGGCTAATTGAACTCAGTTACCGTGTATGTGTAAACCTCAAGGACAAAGCCACAGGTCCTAATACGATTTAGTACAGAACCAGAGGCAGGGCTTGACCCAGGCTGGAACTGGCCTTAAATTACTAGCAGTCTAAAGCAACCCAGGTTATCTCTACTCCATGCTCGTGAGAGTCCAACAGAGGAATCTCACACATGGACCTGGGTTTGGTGGTTATTGTGAATAATATTCATGAGGGCCTCTCTCTGCTGAGCAGTCTAGAAAAGTACCCAGTGTGTCTAGCTTCCCCCCAGGAGGATGCCAAAATGACTACATCTTGACATCCAATTCTTCATGGCAAGAGTGCTGTCCTGTCCCCTGCCATGGCCTCATCATTTCAGTCCTTTGAACACACTGCCCTGATCTTTACCATCTCCAGACCTTGGTCCAAGTTCTTTGCCTATATCTTCCACCCTTTTCCTCAAATAGACCCTATCCTTAAAATTCTAGCCCAGGCATTGTATTGTCTAGAAAGTGACCCTGCTTCGCCCATGCTCTGGTATCAATATCACTCCGTTAACCCTCAGCACATACAAATTCTGTCTGCAGGTGTCTTTGCCAATTGAGCCTTAGCACATGCCAAGCTATTTCCTCCCATTGTAGATGTTCTTCCCAGTGAACAGTGAGCTGTCTGACATCAGCAATCCCATCTTCTGCATTTACTATGCTTTCCCTTATCCCCACCAAAGAAGGAACCCAGAAGGGGCAATCTACAAACAATGAGCAGGCAATCCATGGGGCTGACTGGCACTGGCTATAGGAGAATAGACCTACTGATCTTTTTTTTGTTACTTACCTCATTCAGCTTGACCCAGTTGAAGGACTTCAGTGGATGGGAAGGCTGGGGAGCACACTTCTTCCTGAGTGGGATGTCATTGCTGGGGCAGGGGTCTGGAGGGAGAGGCAGGCCCATGCTGAAGCATGGTGGGGCACCGGGGGGAGTGGGAGGCCCACCAGGTGGAAGAGGTGGTGGTGGAGGTGGAGGACAGCAGGCAAATGGGAGAGGGGGCGGAGGTGGAGGCAGGTCATTGGTTGTCATTGAGGAAGACAAGGTAAGTGGGCCCCCAGGGGGAGGTGGGGAAGATACAGGTCCTGTCTGTGGGAAGACAGAAAAATTGAAAAGACAAAGCTATCAACAATGACGCCTTTCAGGCCCCCACCACACTATTTCTTTCCTTATTCTTATTCTTCATTTACACTAGAACCCCAATCCTGCTCTCACCTCCACACACATTTTGCTCCCCCATTTCCTCTCTGTATCCCGAACATCCAACATAAACATAGACACAACCACAGCCACATACACATAGGTAAAACACACATACATAACACTGGACAAAGTCATAGTTATAACAATGCAACAGCAGGAATGATACATATGGTTGTGTAGGCTACTGTCTGCACAAGGGCATCCAGCTGCACAGGGAGGGGTGCGTAAAATCATACTTGCACTCTGCTTTCCCAGGTGTGCTTCCTGGGACAGTGTCACCCAGGGGAAAGGGCACTGGTTTTTCTAATTAACACAAAGGTAGCCACCTTTACAGCCTCACAGTTCCCCTCTATCCTGGCCTGAGGTCCTCCTCTAACTTCTCCTTCATCCTGGGGTCCTTAGCCCTTCCCCACACCTGTTCTTCCCACTTTATCCTGAAGGTCTCAGCTCAATATGTAAAGAGAGGAAGGTGTCCACATACTGAGATTTCACTGAGTTGGGCTACCAGTTCTGCCACTTGTCCTCGAGCCTGGCGCAGGTCCTGGGACTCTCGGGCCAGTTTATCCTTCATCTTGTTCAGTGTCCGCATCATCTCTTCCTTCTCCAATGTCTTTGTCTCACATTCTCGCTCCTTCCTCTCTAGCTTGCTCACCAACTCCATGTGTTCTGGGATGGGGGTGGGACAGGAGAGGAAATGGGAAGAGACAATATGAATCTGTGTGTGTCTACCTCTAATAGGTCCTGGGCTGGGCAGGGGAGGGGTTGTACGGAGCATGCAGTGGCTTTAGGCAGAGCCCCTTACCTTTCCGGAACTTCTCTGCCTGGTCTTGCCACTGTTTCACTTCATTCTCATTGATGAGCCTGGTGGGGAGTACAGGAAGGGTCTGTTGATTGTTGGCTCATAACTTCCCAGAAGACATATCATCCCCCTATTCCCCACATCAGTTCTGTGATCTCCAATCTGTCCAGCCACATCAAGGAGGCTAGGATTTTGATTCTCCAGATGTCTCTCCAGGTCCCCAGCCCTGCCCAGTTCTCGTGTACCTCTCTGTGGACTGTGAAAATTGAAAAGACCCTTAAATAACTTATGATCCAACCCCTTGTGATATAGTTGAAGATCTTGAGACCAGAAATGAAGACAACAGCTTAACTAATGGTAGAACTAGGACTAAATCTCAGGCTTCTTTTAGTTGTCTGATGACTTGTACTCCCTTGTAAAAATAAATTTTTTGCACTGAGATCAAAATATTGACCCTACCATGGTCTAGGCTTCCAAAGACCAATGTGTAAGACCAAGAAAAATCACCCACCTCACAACACAGAATGAGTATGTTGAGGGTGAAGAGGGAAATGTATCTAAATCACAGGAAGTCCTCACTCATGTCAAACTCTTGGAATGGGGATTAAGCTATTACCTAGACACCAAAGTGTAATAGAAATGAAATCCCAAAGTGAGATCTCAATAATTGGGCTTTTTGTTTGTTTTTGTAACTCTGAAAATGTGGGAGTTAGATCCATGAATCTTGGCTCCTCAATCACATCAAGGATATAAAGAGGGGACAGAGTATGGAAAGGGACATAATTTGTGCAGAGAGTTCTTTGGAGAGAGCCATTGCTGTCCTTCTTGGAGGTGCTACCTCCTTCATCATCATCCACTAGCTTCTTTGGACCACTCAGAGTTCTGACCCACATTCCCTGATGTTGGGAGGGAGGCATAGTGGACTAGGGTCCAACTTGGGGCCAGGCAGTTCCAAAGAGTGAAGAAACATTAACTGGGAGAGTGGTGCTGTGCTGGGACCATCCAGCACTCCTAGAGTTTGTTGGTACAGAGATTGCACAAAGGTTTTTCATGGACCAGAGGTAAGCATCATGGAAAAATTGGGCTGATGCCATTTTAAGTCCTTTCCAAGATGTCCACCTGGCAGAAAATTGGACACTTGGACATTGTGCCATTGTGCACTAGATTGTTAGTGAATCAGGAGCTGATGGAAGGGATGGTACCAACCAGTCTTAGGGGATAAAAAGGCCTTGAATGGCCAGTGACCAGGGTTTTATAGTGAGAGGCATGCAACAAAGAGCTTCAGAAGATCCCAGAAATAATTCATGTCTTTACCTTTGTGACAAGGCCAGAGAATAGGAAGCCTGTTTACTAGGTTATCTAATCAAGTAACACCTTTTCCCCTTCTCCTTCCTGCCCCTGCACTGCCTCTGATAGGGATTAAAAACTGGTTAGCTAATAGAAGGGGATATGTGTGTAGAATGGGTTAGAAGAAAAACAGAACAGAGAAAGAAAGCCAGTCATCACACATGCCCTTCCCACTGCACCGTCCAGCCCCAGTCCAGGGAAGAGAGAGATTTAAGGCTAAATCAAATCTAGAATTCACATGGTTCACATCTGAGACTAGTCCTTCTAGTTGCAGATTTGAGACTATGTTGATGGCTTAAAATGATCTTAGGACTTCCATTGCCCAAGAAGAAGCAAAAACTTCATTGGACCTGAGGCATTTTCATCCTCTGGCAGAGGAAAAGCTTCCCCACTAAATAGTGTAAAGAGTTAGTAGAAAACAGAAATAAAAATCAGAAATAAAGCTGCATTTTGATTACTTTGCTAGTTGCACTTGTCCAGCATACCAGGTAGGATTAACTATATCAATACCCAACTACTTGTGCAAATGAAAACAGTACCATGAATAGTTCAAAAATCATTTTCTACCTGGCTTTGGAATGTGACACCATGAATACTTAAGAGCCAATTTATCTCGTTAAAGGGCAACTGGACATGTATAGTAGCATTATTTACAAAAGCCAAGATATGGAAGCAGCCCAAGTGTCCAACCATTGGTGAATGGATAAAGAAGATGTGGTGTATTTATACAATGGAATATTATGCAGCCCTAAAAAGAATGAAATCTTGCCATTTGCAATGACATGGATGGAGCTAAGCAAAATAAGTCAGTCAGAGAAAGACAAATACCATATGATTTCACTCATAGAAGGAATTTAAGAAGCCAATCAAATGAGCAAAGCAAAAGAGAGAGAGAAATCAAGAAACAGACTCTTAGCTATAGAGGACAAACTGATGGTTACCAGAGGGGAGGGGGGGCAGAGGGATTGGTGATATAGATGATGGGGATTAAGGAGTGCACTTGTCATGATGAGCACCGGGTGATGTATGGAATTGTTGAATCACTACATTGCACACCTGAAACTAAAGTAACACTATATATTAACTAACTGGAAATTAAAACAAAAACTTAAAAAAGAAGCTAAGTGAAATAAGTCAAGCAGAGAAAGTCAATTATCATATGGTTTCACTTATTTGTGGAACATCAGGAATAGCATGGAGGACATTAGGAGAAGGAAGGGAAAAATGATGGGGGGATATCGGAGGGAGAGATGAACCATGAGAGATGATGGACTCTGAGAAACAAACAGGGTTTTAGAGGGGAGGGGCGAGGGGGGATGGGTTAGCCCGGTGATGGGTATTAAGGAGGGCACGTAGTGCATGGAGCACTGGGTGTTATACGAAAACAATGGATCGTGGATCACCACATCAAAAACTAATGATGTATTGTATGGTGACTAACGTAACATAATAAAATTTAAAAATAAATAAATAAATAAAAATAAGTAATTTTATTTAAAAAAAGTTAAGTAAAAGTTTAAAATTAAAAATTAATGTGTTAACATAACTTCTGATAATTGATGTGACTTTAAACTTGGTTCTCTGTATTTCTCAATATACAGGGTCAAAGATAAGCCAGACTTAGGCTCTGACATCCTTATCCAACAGTCTTAGTTAATTGCCATGTTCTATTTCAGTGATTAGCAAACTTTCTCTAAAGGGTTAGAATAACTATTTTAGGTTTTATATGCCAGGTACAATCTCTGTCACATATTCTCATTTGTTTTTAAAAACTTTTAAAATGTAAAAACTATTCTTAGCTCATGGGTCATACAAAAGCAAGCTGGAGGATTGTTTAGCCCACAGACCATTGTTAGTAAGTTTAAATTCTTCCTCTATCTACTCCATGCAATGGATCATTAAAAGCTGAGTACGGGGGCACCTGGGTGGCTCAGAAGGTTAAGCGTCTACCTTCAGCTCAGGTCGTGATCCCAGGGTTCTGGGATCGAGGACCACTTCGGGCTCCCAGCTCAGTGGGGAGTCTGCTTCTCCCTCTGCCTCTCCCACCCCCCAGTTTGTGCTCTCTCTTTAGCTCACTCTCTCTCTCTCTCAAATAAATACATAAAATCTAAAAAAAAAAAAAAAAGCTGACTACACCCCCTATAAACCTGTGCTGTTCAATATGGTAGTCACTAGCTATGTCATATCACTATTTGAATTTAATTAAAATGAAATAAAATTTTAAATTCAGTTCCTCAGTCACACTATCCACATGTCAAGTGCTCAACAGCCATGTGTAAACAGGGCAGATATGGAATATCTCCATTATCTCAGAGGATTCTATTGGACAGGTGCATTTGGAGACATCTGGTTTATGAGAGGGAGCAGAGGTTTCACTGGTGAGAGTCCATGCAGGAGATCGAGAGGGAAGGAGGAAGACAGGTGAGAGCTGGCCACTGCTCACATGTTAACAATGTTCTTGACGTTGAAGTTCTCCAAGGGAGCCAGGTCAGGGTCCACACCCCTCTCATCCTGGAGGACAATCTGTTGAAGGATCCGGTCCAGGAGCTGCCACTGCTGGAAATAGCCACCGTTCCGCTTGTCTGCGAGGACAACAGGCATCATAACCTCACTGAGCCCTGGAATCCCCTGGTGCCCTGCCCTAGAGTCACTGCCTGGGCCCAGGCTGATGAAGCATGCCCTCTCCCTCCCTTCATAAGCTCCCAGTCTGATGGGGGAGGCAATGATGCTACTGATGCAGATGCTGATGATGGAGATTCGCAAATGCGATCATTTCCTAACGATCTGCAACTGACTTTCTATGAGTGTGTCAATCCTCTAGACACATTTCTCTACTCCCTGAAGTGCTTCCTGGCTGCCTTTCTTCCCTATAGGTAGGTACCCTGAGTAGCCTATGCCTTGGGAATGCAAATTGCCTTTTCCATTATCTAAAAAAAGCACCTTTCAGAAAGTAAATCTGCCCCAAAATATTACCTGCTAAATAATGAAGTCTCCAGGGAAATTTAAAAAAAGAAAATGTTTTAGGATTATCTATGCTGTTGTTCTACAGTGAAAGGTGAATGGAAACTCACTACAGGTATGCACTAAGAGAGAGTCAGAGTTGGAGTTGGAGTTGGAGTTGGGTTGGAGAAGTGCTAATGGAATCCAGGCAGACTTCTCAGTGAAGGTGACCCTGTACTGTGAAGGCAAAAGTTTGTGTGTGTTTCCTGACCTCACAGGGCCCCACTCCCATCCTCTGTAATCATGGTTTGGTGGGACATGGACTTTCTTTCCATGTGCTAGCCACAAGCCCCTCTGCTTCAGTTCTTGACCCCAAGTACTTTGTCTCAACTGACCACCAAAGGAGGTCAACCAGGACAATGCTGACCTCAAAGTCAAACCATAATGCTTACAAAGTGGAAGGTCATGTCAACAAAGCCCCATTTTGAGGCAGAAGAGACCCATTGACATTGCCCATGAAACACAACACACAAGAACCTGATAGAGAAGTCAGGTTTCTCAGGGACTTCCTATATCTTCCGTGAAGATCTCTGTACTGAGCTTTGGAGAACTGATAGCTTCCTGGTCTAGGTCACTGTGTCCGGTTTCCTTTCCATCACTTCAGTGACATAGACATTGCAATGTGGCATAGTTTTCCATTTACCCTCCACCCAGGAAAACAGGGTAAAGCCAGGCCACTGGCTCACCAAAGTAGAACATGTTTCATCTAAGGCCGTGAACCCCAAAAAACAAAAATTCCTTCATATGTTCAGACTCACCCAGTCTCAAGTTCATTCACTATAAATCATATATAATAATGCAAACTCTTTAAGTCATTTTCAGGTTTAGAGACACTATGCCAAAGAGCCTTGCATCATGCATGGCCCAGAGCTGGCACATAGTAAACTGGTTATTGCCACCATCACCATGAAAACCAACACCACCATCACCACCAGTAGAGAGTCTGCCTAGGTTGATCATCATGGTTGGCCATAGTAGTCTTCCAAATATTCAATTTTGTGAAAAGCTTAAATACCAAATGGTACAGTTACAGCTCATTTCAAATTGCATGCTGGGGTGGTTATTAGTGATTATATATAATTTATTCAGTCACTGTACACACCTGGATCTTAAAAAGCTTAGCATCTGCTAAGCTTAGATGCTGACATCTGATATTTGCAAAGAGAGGCAGGGGCAAGTGTGTTAAAGTAGAGCTCACAAGGCCTAGATGGAGGAGTTGATAAAACCTTGAAAAAAGTCATGCTCAGTCTACATCTGTGCTATGCCCCCAAATACAAAGCTTCTTTTTGGAGCTCCCCAAGATGACTGATCACTCCTCTGTCATAAGCTGACAGCCAGAGCTGTTTGACTTTACAGTGATCAAGCTACTGCTTGGTAGACCAGGACATTAGCATTCTTCAGGGCCAAGTCCACAGCTTCTCCCCTGGGTGACAGTGGAAGTCCTGATCCCAAAGAGGGAGGAAAGAACAAGGGCCTGAGTCCTGTGGCCAGGCCTCCTGGGGACATGTGCAGAGAGAGACTCAGTCAGACTCACCAACCCAGGGAAGTCCTGACACCTTGTCTCAACCTGCCCCAGGCCAAGGCTCAGGCCAGCTGAGGAAGTGGCAAGTGCGGCCTACTTACAGGGCATCTGAAGGCAGTGGTGTAGAACAGATAGCAAGCAGGGGTAGGCCTCGGTGTGCTTTAGCTTCTTGTGGATCAGCTCAAACATCTGGGAAGCACTCTTGGTGTCAATGTGGACCTGAGGGAGTAGAGGGCACAGTGAATGGGGAGGGCGCAAGCCGTGGAAGAAGAGGGGAGAAAACCCTACTTCCATCCACTGAGCCCCATTTCCCAGGATGACATTCATTCTCCTGCTTCTGGCCCAGGCTCCAAAGGAGAGGCACAGAGAAAAGGAGGAGGGAGATGTCCTAATTATATGAAGCAGGATTTCTCAATCTCAGCATATTGGCATCTTGGACCGGATCATTCTTTGTCGTGGGAGCTGTCCTGTTCATTGTAGGCTGTTCCACAGCATCCTTAGTCTATATCTATCAGATACCAGTGACATCCTCCTTGTACTGGTTGTGATAACAAAAATTGTGTCCAGGCTTTGCAAATGTCCACAGGGGGAGGAGGAAGCAACGTTACTCCTGGTTGAGAACTACTGATTCAAACTAAGGAAAGGGGACAGGGGCATAGACAATTCAAGGACCACATAGCATAGTTCCACGCAAGCTGGGTTCAAATCCCAGATCTACTCTCTCATTGTGTGACCACAGGCAAGCTAATCTCAGTCTTCTTATTGTAAGTCCAGGGCTTGTGTGACCATATAATGGGATGGTGCTTGGTGACTGCAGCACCACCAGAGGTAAGCTTCTATTTGAATAGAGATTTTATAATACAATATTTAAGCAGCAGAATTGTGTATTTTCAGGGTTATTGAGGCTGAAATGAAAAGACAATCTGGTTTGTGAAGCATGATCTAGTTAGTGGCAGGGAAAGGGGACTCAGGAAATTGCTGGAAGGCAGGGGGAGAGTAGCCCAGGAGAGAATCTGAAACTAATAATGTTTAAGGACTGGCCCTCTTTCCTTTGGGGATTGCAATCTCCCAGCGGAGGAGATGCCCTACCAGGTAAGGCCTGCCAGGTGAGGCCCTGCAGATCCAACACACTGCCAGGCTCCAGAAGTAGGACCTGTCTATAGGACCACTCACCAGGGAAGCCAGCCAACAATGGACCTACCACAACATGGGATCTGGAGAAGAGGCTGTGGGGCCACCTGGGACCCCACTGCAGTTGCCCCATCCCTGTAGGCTTCTTACCATGTCAAACCTCCTGGCTAGCTCCAGGTCATCCTCATTCCGGACCATCTCAAAGAAGTCTAAATGCCTAGATAGGATGAGGGGATAGAGAGAGTAGATATTACTTCTAGGATGTCCCTGTTTGAGGATTAGTCCCTTCAACTCCCCAGTGAACTAAATCTGAAAGCTTAATTCAGGTGATGCTGAGGCAAAACCAGAAAGAAGCCACTGGTCTATACGCCAACACTCTCCTCCTTTATAGAATCCCATGCCCCTTCTTCCTCAGGGAGGCCAGCCTACAGTCCCATCACCTTAGATCAGGCTTTCTCAATTTTGGCACTATTGATATCCAAGGCTAGATTTTCCTTGGTTGTGGGAGGCTGATCTGTGAGATGTAGAAGGTTCAACAGCATTTCTGATCTCTACCCACTAGACACCAGTAGCAGCCCCCACCTTTCAGGTCATGACAACAAAAATGTCTCCAGGCTTAGCCAAATGTCCCCTTGGGGTAAAATCACCCAGTCAAGGACTACTGCTCTGCCTTCACCAGGGTTCTCATACTGTCCTCATGTCAACCTTCAAAGCCAGTCTCTCTCATTTTTCACCCCATCCACTCCCCAACTTCATTTCAAAAGGGCCCATCCTGTCTCCCTTAAGACCCAGTGCAATAAAATAGTGTGTACCAATGGGACAGAACCAGAGGGGACAGATAGGAACTTAATTGGAATTAAGGAACACATAGGAATTTAATTGTGCCCTTTAATCAATAAAGGCTTTCATGGCTTCCATTTGCGGTGGGGCAATTTCCTTGTTAAGCAGGAGTGCCCTGCAGGATGTTTAGTATTCCTGGTTTCCAACAACCAATACCAGTTAGTGTCCCCCAACCAGCCAGTCTAAAAACCAAAGGAACACCCCTATGTGTTTCCAAAGCCCCCCCCAACCCTGGTGAAGTACTAACATGGTTGAGGACTACTGGGTCCACCTGCATTTAACATCAGAGATGAGAAAGCAGGTCAACAAAGAGAGCAGTCAAGGACAGAGGTAGGATGTGGGACAAGGGGGTGAGAGCTGTCCACCTCCCCCCCACAGAGCTGATTCTGAATTAATACTGGGTATGGCAAGTGGTTTCCATTGGGAAGGGCAGCCTCCTTGAAAGTTCTAATCATCCCCAACTGAGGCACTGTCTCCATGGCTTGGGCCTTACTTGTCCAGGATGGCATTCTCGTGCTGCCGGAGTTTGTCAATCACAGGTTGGATCCCCAGCATCAGGAACTCATACCGTAGATGAAGGCGGAACTCCAGATTATCCTGGGGGTCACCGAAGGAGGACCAGACTTATTGGCTTGTGGCTCTTCCACAAGAGTCCCCAGTGGACCCACTCTAGTCATTGTCCCACTATATCACCTGCAACAACCCACCTGGAACTGCCTCAAGTCCAGAGTTCCAAGAAAGGGCAGGAGGAGACATACTAGACCTTGTTATTTATTCCCATTAGGTTTCCTGCCTCACTTCCTTCAAGTCCCTTACCGGTTTTCTCAGCCTTTGGCATCAAAGAGTGGCACCGTAGAGTAAGGTAGGCTATAAGCTTTGATTTCAAACAGATCTTGATTCAAATCCCTGCTCTGACACTCACTAGTTTTGTGATTTTGGGAAAGCCTTAGTTTTCTCATCTGTAAAATGGGAATGATATTACCGAAAGGGGTGATATTACATTAAGAATTACCTGGTGAAGTATGGTTACCAACTAATCAGAACAGATTAGTGTAGCTAGTATTGACAAGGGTGATGTCAGCATCTGAGGGACAGATTGCTCTCCCAACCCACCTCACCTAATTTAGCTCATCAGGACTGGTTGCAAGAAAAGCGTGTTGGCATAAAAGAGGGAAAAGTAGAGATCATTAAATTGCCCCTTTTGTCCTTCAACAAATTGACCTTGACTGGGGCATCTGGTTCCCTTAGAATTTGGGGAGTTCATCTGCTCTTCAAGTTCGTCTTCAACTTGCTATTTTTACAGTCTGAGAATCCCATTCTGACCCCACAGTAAGGAAAATCAGAAGCCATACCTCCTAACAGAAGGTGCTAGAGGGCATGACCAACCAACTCAGAAACCAGTCCAGAATCAGGTCTTTAGAAAACTCTAGGAAGAAGAGCCTACACTTGCCCTCCTCCCATAAATGATCCCCCACCACCCTAAGCCAGCATCAGCCAGCCTACGTGGGGTTTGTCCAGTACGCACATAATGCACAACGCTACCCATGCAAGGAACTCCCCAAGAACCTCTCATGACTACAAGGTTCATGACAATCTATTCTTTCTCAGCCCCAAGTGAAGGAGGCAAGAGTTTATAAAGGTAATCTGAAGACAATGATGGTAGTGGCAGCCATGCCAACCAGAGGTCTTGGCCCTTTCCCTCTGCTACATCCCCAGGAGGCACTTGCACACATTCCCCTGGGGCCAGAAAGTCCAGGAACAGTAAGAGCAACGACAAGATGCCTCACCTCTCCAGCTCCAGCATTGAGGACAGCGTTGATGAAGGACATGATAGCTGTTTTCAGATTCACTTCATCCCGGTACCGGCCCAAACTTCGGTCTAGCTCATTCAACAGTGTCTGGTTGGAAAGGCGGGACAGGAGAGGAAAGATGGGCTCAGGATCCTACAAGTCCAGCCTCTGTGCCTGTGTTCCTACCATTCTAACCCCACGTACTTGCTCTACCCAATCTATCTAGCTTACCCTGGTCCTTCCCAAAAGCTCAGCTTTTTCAAGAAGCGTCCTTTGCCTATCCATACCTCAATCTCAGTCCTGCCACTCACCTCCAGGGCTTAGTTTATTTTGTAGGGCCATGCCGAAATGCTGCTTTAGCATTTTAGAGCTGTTTACAGCTCCAGCTGCTTATAGCTCTTAAATCTTCCTGCCCTGCTCCCTGACAGCATGGACACTGCCTTTTACCTCTTCTGCAAAGGGTCAGGGGCCACTTTCTGCACAGAATAAGTGCTTAAAAATGTTTGATGATAGAATATACAAATAGCCTATACGGGTAGATAAACCATAGCACTTGTAGTGACAGTTTAGATCTATTGATACTTATTCTACATAAGACACTTTATACTCATCTCATTACTTTTCTGGGGCAGGTCAGGGAGAAGAAAAGAGAATGGCTTCAGTATCCAGCACTGTTCTTGGGGTCCCCATAGTAAGCACTGGCCCAGGCATAGGGCTTAAAATCTTGGCCCCAACAACTGCATTCAATTTAATTTTTGACTGAGCTGCTGTGATTCATCAGGCACTGGGCTCAGAGATGTAGAGCCATAGACTAATAACCCAGCCTCAAGGAACCCACGGTCTAGTGATGCATCCATTTTCCCAGCCAAACCCGTATCTCTTAAGGTCCCTTATGTCTTTTTATATAAGCCCTCAGCTAGGCCCCCCCTCACCTGAAAGCGTGTCCTCTCAGCTGCGTACACCTGGTAGTGGAGCATGGCTTGCAGCACCTTCTTGTGGCCGCCAGGCACCAAGCACACGGCACCCAGGATCTCCAGCACGGCCACCTTGGTCTTGCTGTTCTCTGTGCGCAGACTCTGTGCAATGGTGCTGATGGCCTCGGGCTGTGCCAGCACATGCGCTCGCCCCTGGGAGTTGTTCATCAGAGCCTTGATGCAACCAATGAGGGAGGTGTGGATGCGACTTTCGCAGGTGGCGTGGTCCATGCTCCGGAGGAAATTCAGCAGACAGGTCAAACCCTCCAGCTCAATGAAGCGTGTCACAAACCTGTCCAGGCCAGCACCATTAGCATAACAGGTATCCTGAATTTGCCTATTATTATGTATACACTTTGCAAACAGTTACCCCGGGACCTGTATAACACAGTGTTCCACCTATAGTAGCCACTTGGTTCATTTAGTGAGTTTATTGAAGGCATTGAAATCCTATCACCCTCGCAGGAGACTCGTGCCTTATTTGCACCTTAAATATCGTGCATTTGCAGGCCATTGACTGTCAGTTGCATAGCTGTGATGGTGTACGCTTGAAGAGAATGATTGCAGGAATTGTTACTATAATTATACTATAATTATAATGGCTGTTAAACCTGAAAATTCATCTCCAGAGAGGAGATGTCAAAAGACAAAGTGGACTTCCAGACAGGGGGTCATCAGGAGTCACTGAGTCATGGGACCAAGGCTGGGGAAGGCACTCTTCAAGTGATCCTTAAGAAAATTGCTATCTTAAATATTAACAGAAAGCATTAAAAACCATTTAGTTCAGGGGTTCTTAACCTGGAGTCTGTGTTCCCCTAAGGGGTCATGGCTAACTTGCAGGGGTCTGTGAACTTGGATGGGGAAAAAAATGTTACACTTTTATTTTTGGTAACCTCTACCTGAAATGTATTATTTCTTCGTATGATGAATGTGGGCAATAAACTACAGTGGTAATAGCAGAACCTGTGACTTTGTCACCCAAAGAAATCAGCTATTTTCATATCAAATTATAGTTGCTACAGGTGTCACAGACTATCACTTCCACTCATCAGCACTTCAAAATCATGGTGGTTGCTAGCTCTTTCTGCTTAAGGCATAAAAAAGCACATTAATTGCTATCTCACAAATGTTTCATATTTGGTAACTGTATTTCAATTTAATTGGTTTATTTTTCATCTTATTTATTTTATTATTTAAAAATATCATTCTGATAAGCAGTCAATAGGTTTCATCTGGTGCCAAAGTCATCCATGGCACATGCACCTTCACACACGCATACACATAGAGAGGCTTAAAACACTGAATTTTGTAAAACAGTAACGATCTAAGGAAATGTCATAAATGGAGCTGAGGGAACCATCGCATATAGTTAATACATTTGGTCCCAAGTGTATTTGTGTATGTCCATATTATTATACAAATGTCTACAAAATGAAATATACTCTAAAATTAAGTCTTTAAAATAGGTATTATTTGCTTCTATTATATGCTTTTCTGTATTCTGCAGAATTTCCACCATGACTATGTGTAACTTTTGTAATCAGAATTTTACTAAGGGAAAGAAAAGTAAATTGAAGTGGGAGACAAACCTGGCAAACTTCCCTCAACCCCTCTCCTTCTCGATGTCCTCATCCTTCCTGCACCCCCTTCCTACAAGCCCCCCACCCCCTGAACCACACGGGATTAAGATGCTCCCATTCTCCTGAGGCTCTAGTTCCAGGCTCCCAAAGTAGAGAGCTCAGCCCAAACCACACACACACACACACACACACACACACACACACACACACGGGCAGACCAGTATGCTGGTAAACATTTAACAACTGGCTGTCTGAAGAAAGAAAAAAAGGCCTGATTGTAGTGTTTGCCAATTTCCACAATATAAATATGCCCAGCATAGCTGATTTCAAGCTATCAATGTGACATCATTGAATGTGGAGTTGGGAAGAGGTGTAACATTTATAGTACAGATGATCCTTGAATAACACAAGTTTGAACTGTTTAGGTCCACTTATATGGGAAGTTTTTCAATAAACACAAGTACAATACTATGAATAGATTTTCCTTATGATTTTCTTAACAGTTTCTTTTCTCTAGCTTACCTTGTTGTAAGAATATAGAATATAATACATATAACATATAAAATATGGGTTAATCAACTGTTTATGTTATTGGTAAGGCTGCTGGTCAATGGTAGAGTGTTAGCAGTTAAGTTTTGGGTCAAAAGTTATACGCAGATTTTTGACTGCCTGGGGGTTAGCACCCCTAACACCCACCTTGTTCAGGGTCAGCTGTATTTCCACCATGCATATACAATGAATATAAACTCAAGAGCATATGTAACAGTCAAGAATATACATAAAACTAAAATGTAGTAAACATTAAGTAATTAGGGAGTGAAAAGTTTCAAGTATTTATTACTTTTGTTTTTAGTATGATTTATTTAGTTTTAAGTTTATATAACTTATATTCTAATCATAGCTATGTTTAACAAGCAGCTTACAAAACTGCTGAAAATTTAACAGTTGGCTCCCACAAGGAGCTACAAGCCAGCTCCCAGGCTTGAGGAGAAGCTGTGGCTCTTGGCCCATTTGGACCTTTGCGCGGTATGGCCTGGGAAGGTGGAAGGGTCCTTCTTCTCAAAATCATCCCCTTTTCCTGGCCTGCATCACTCCTCCTCTAGGTGGCGGAATCTCATCTACAGACACCACATCTCCCCCTAGTGGCTGGAGTATCTCTTCTCCACGCTGCCCTCCTCCCTGGCCGGGGCATTCATTCTCAGAGCTCTTTCTTACACATCTTGTCCATAAGTCCGCCTTCCCTGCCATTCTGTTCTCCCAAGAAAAACAAGTACCTGCGCTCAATTTCTGCTCAGATAGCACTTCAGGACCTGAGGTTTATGTCACATTCCTCTGCTGTCTGCCCTGGTCCCTCACATGCCCATCCTCTGGCAGCCTCCCAGCTCCTCAGAGAGGGGTTGTAGGAGGCAGGAAGTGGAACAGAGTGCAGGGAACTCTAGGGGATGTGGTGGTGGGGGAATGGAGCTGGCAAGGGGACTGGGATAGGAGCAGAGCATTGGGTGAAGCTTCAGGAAGTTGAGGGGGACCAGCAAGTGAAGGGGTGTGGAAGGAAGTGGGAAGGGGAAACACAATGAGTCACCTCATGGGTTGTGTCCGGAGAGCTGTCTTCAGGTCTTCCACAACTTGGTTCCTCATCTCCGTCTCTTCCTCATCAAAGGCATACAGACTCTGCATCTGAGGTAGGTGGAAAGGGGCGGAGGTCCTGCTGGGCTGCCTGAGCCCCAGCTCCCTGCATCCCCCAGCCCAGGTGGGACCCAGGAGCCACCCTCGACTCAGGAAGGGTGGGGCCTCAAGGAATGGTTCACTAAGAGGGTCAGATTCTGAGAAGACCCAGGTTCCAGTCCCAGACTTCACTTTCCTCATCTGTGGAATGGGGAGAAGTATCGGCTCGGCCTGTTTCCTAAGACTGTGTGAGATACAAACGGCTAATAAACGTTCATATGGTTGGGGGCCTCGAGAGTCACACAGAGAAGGGATGGATTATGTTTTAAAAATCTCAGGAATAACTGGAAAGCTGTTGATCCCCAGGGAGTGGGGTGTGAAGTTCAGGGAAAGATGCGGGATGATCACTCTCTCCCATGGCTTTTCCAGGTGGGGTGAGGGCAGGGGAGAAGCCATTGCTCACGGCAGCCATAGAGTTGATGCGGTCGATGTAATAGTCAGGCCAGCTGGTTGCCAGCTTGTTGGGGTCCTCCTGCTCCTGGAACAGGAAGAAAGACTATATGGACCACCTGGCAAGATAGGCCCATGCCCTGAGGTCCTGAGCTTCGTTCCATGTCAGCAGATTCACTTTCCAGCCCCACTCAGACAGGGATAACTTTGAGGAAGTTACAAAATCTCTCCACGTTTCCATTTCTTCCTTGGTAAAAATGCAGATAGTGAACACTGACTCTCATGACCGGCCAATGACATGGGCAGAAATCACACAGGTATATGCACTTTCGATGAACAATATATATAATTAAAAATAAATTCTTTTTTTCCTGTTATATCTGTCCCCTCTTTATTTGTTTGCTTCTTAATAAAATATAATTTTGTCTGTTGAACCTAATAAAAATCTGTGCATATATTTTATACATCTGGTTTTTCAAATTTTACTTTCTAATACCATTCTCCTTGTATTTTACAAAAGTATTGGTTTTTGACAGTTTGGAATTTTAAAAACTTGGTTTTCCTCTCAGACTGTTTGAGAAGCACTGATATAAAGCATTTGGTGCAGTTCTTTGGCACATGGTAGGCACTCAGTGAATAGTAACTTCACTAAAAGAGGGAAAGAGACTCCCAAGCCCTGGGTTTTGGAAAGACTCAGGAGGACTCGGTGTAGCTGGGAAGCAGAGTCCAGAGCACAGGGCCTTTGGCCCAACCCTCAGGTTTCAAGGGAAAGCCTCAATTCCTCCCCAGGGATGGGCAAAGACAATGAGAGTTGAATAAATATTAATGTTGATTGAAGATCTAGCCCTCTCCTTCAGCCAACGACTCTACTTCTGGGCATTACACACACCCTGCTCCTTCCTGTCCCTGTCCCATTTGGATGTTCTCCTTCACCTGCCTTCTGCTAATCTCCTGCTTTCAAATCTGCACAAAAACTTAACTCCTCTTCCAGAACCATGCTGACAAACTACCTGTCTGCCAGGTGACCTGGACTTTGCCCTGTATCCCTCAGCTATATCTACTAGCTTCACAATTTTGTTTCACAAAACCCAAATTTTAGACCAGTGGGAAAGCTGCCTTGATTTGGTCTTTGTGATTTCACATGGCTATGTGTTAACGCTTCATGACTGAAACTCCCCAATTCTATCTTCTGACCTTGGGGAGGGGATCACAGAACCAAAAACAAATGCACCATCAAATATATATTTTCCTGTCTTTGCCAGCTCATCATTTCTCCATTCCATATGCATTAAATGAGCACCTACTACATGCCAATCACTGTACTGAGCCCTGAAAGTACTGAGCAAAAAGTCAGTCTCTGTCTTCCATAGAATAGTCTCGTGTCAGAGGTAGGGTGACAAATGCTTTATGGTCAAACTGTCTATAGTGGGCTGTGGAAGCCCTGGGTGGGGGCATCTAACACAGAAGGCTCATGAAGGGGGGTCGGAGAGGACAGGGTTATTAAAGATTACTGAAGCTAAGACAGGTGGGGAAGATGTTACAAACAGAGGAAGCACCACATGGCAAGAGAGGGGTATGTGTAAGTGTGGGGGGAGATTACGTGTAATCTGATTTGGAAGGTAGAACAAGCTATCCTTACATTTCAGTATTTTTTTTTTATCTTAGTTGTAATGAAGGAGAAGAGAGGGAGGAGAGGGTGGGGAGAACGGGGACTGATGTATGACCTTGATATACCTGCTGCCCTGTGAGGCTGAGCCTGGGACGGGTGGGGGCCAAAGAGCCACAAGAGGCCACCCCTGCCCCAAACAGTCCTTACAACACAAAGCTGCCCTTGGGTATGGCACAGGACAACACGCCCTCCAGGCAAGCACGGGAAGGGAGTATAGACTTATCATCTTGGTATCTCCTTGACCCAGCCCCACTCCTGGAGCCCAGTGGGCACCTGCATCAAGGGTCTTTGAAAACCAGAATCTCTTTCCCTGTCAGCTCCATGAGAGCAGGGAATTTTTTGTCCTGATTTATTCATGCCACTGACACCTAGAACGATGCTGGTATATAATAAATATCTGTTGAATGAGCGAGCAAGCATAGAGGCAAGAGCTGTGCCAGGCTGGGGACCCTGAGGTGGCAGTGGAAGTGGTCAGACATGGCACCTTCTTCTTGCTGCAGTAGATCTGCCATTTCTTCTCCGGAGGCAGTGCAAACACAGCCTCTCGGTTTTTGTCGGTGAGATCCAATTCATCCTGCAAAGACAAGAAATATGTCTGAAACCCAAAGATGGTTGACATTAGAATATTCACTGCTACAGGAAATCGCAATTCCCCCAAACCTATCCCTCAGCCTACTGTCTCCCTCCAGAGAGTATCAAAGTATGATAGAGCAATTCTTCTGCTAGAAATACAGCCCTACACCCCCACCCCATTCCCTTACATCGACCTAAGCCTGGGCTGCCTCTATCCATGCTTCCCTTACTTCCTGTCCACTCCCACTTGTCTCTACAAATCTGCTCTCCTCCTCCAGGCTGCCTGTTCCCTGCCCATCTCCTTCCTGCATTGCTTTGCTAGTTCCTAACCGTCTTGCCCTGGGTTTCTGCTCTTCTTTCCCTTGTCCTTCTTAAGCTTGTCAACATCATAAGTCAAGGCCTGACAAAGCACTCAGTCTACAGATCTAGTTTCTGCCCCAACCTGCAAGTCTCCCTGACCTTTGAGTTTCTCCCCCAGAAATTCTCTGGCTCCCCGCAACCTCGGCCTGTTCTTAGCACAGGGTGAGAAGAGCTGGTGAGGATAAGAAGCTGTACAACTCTCCTGGCAAGAAGAGTATGCCATGGAAAGGGAGGTTCTGATCTGCTTCCCAGGGAGGTGTGTCTGTCAGAGGTAGCTCCTCCACCCACACAAGGCTGGGAGCTCCACCACACTAATCCACACTTCCCAAGGAGTATAATTGGGTAGTCCTGATGTCATCAAATTTAGGGTTGTTCTATGAGAGTCACTGAAGGTTTGGCTGCATTAGATGGCCTCTAAAACCTCTCTTATTGAAGACTTTCCTCCTGTGATTCATGAGCTATGCCAAAGCTCATCAAAGAAATAGATGGGCCACAGGAAATGTAGCCTGCTTTTCGACTCAATTATTGTGAGAGTTTTCTTTTTTTAAATCAAAAGCAATACTCACATTAAGACAATAAAGCATACTATTAATAATCTTTATCTTTTCAAAAATGATAAACAGTGAAAGTAATATGTAAAAAGGTATAAGGGTCTTAAATGTCAGTATCTCTTTTCCCTATACTTTTAAGGGAGAACATTGAAGACTTTCCTTTACATAGATCAGAACTGTCCAATAGAAATATAATGTGAATATAATGTGAGCCAGAAATTAAAAAATTTCTTGTCATAGTAAAAATTAAGAAGGAATTGGTGAGGTTAAATTTAATATTTCATTTAACCCAAAGTATCTAAAATATAATCATTTCAACATGTAATCAATAGAAAAAATTGTGAGTTTGAAAAAAAAAAGAATATAAAGAATGTAAGTCATCAAAATATGGTGTATATTTCAACCTTATAGCTCCTCTCAGTTCAGACCAGCCACATCTCAAATATGCAGCAGCCCCAAGTGACTATAGCTGCCATCTTGTACAGCACATACAAAGATAATTTGAAGCAATACCCATCAGTTCACCTGCCTTTGGAACTAAAGACTCCTACAGATCTAATGCTAAACAAAGGTTCTTCCCTAGAATCATTCTCTACATATCCCAGTAACATCCTCAGTTAAGATTCCCAGAGCCCCGCTTGAAGTTTCTAGAGTATTTCCTTTCCATGGTCAGAAACGGAAATCAAAGAAATAATAGAGATATATGTACCTTACACTTCCCAGGGCAAACTGAATCTCTTCTTCTTTTGCTTATAGAGTTAGTTCTACCTGGACTACCCTCCCTGACCACCCACCCACGGACCCTGGTCTAATTTACCCAGGTTCAAGGTCAGCCTCTTCCAGCAGGGCTTTCATAGCCATTCCCAGGTAAGACCATCTTTCCCTTCCTGAACTCCAGAGCAGTTACATTCAAACTTGGATTCTGGTTACTTACGCACTTGTCTTTTCTCACCAGTGGTCTCTGTCACTAAATCAATGGGTATTTCTTGGTGATTTGGCTCAGCCCAGGTAGCCTATGACTGACTGCCGACCATTCACTCCTTATTGAATCTCCCTGGGTTTCTGCAACAACCACACTTTCTGGCAATCCCTCTTGCTTTGCTCTATGTTCATCTTGGGCTCCCTTGATGTCTTCTTGTCTTCTCTTCTACCATCAAATATTGAAGTCCCTCAGGGGTCCTGGTATCTCCTTCCTGTATGTTTCCCCAGTAAAGACTTCTCAGCCATTCCCAAGGACTGTTACTATCCCAAACTCTCTCAAACCTATTCCTCTAGCCCACCAGTTTCCTGAGCTCCAGACCCTGGAACATAACTGCTCCCTGTGCTTATCTATTTTGATGTCCCTCAGGTACCTCACACTTTTATGTAGTATCACTATGCACCAGGCACTGTTCTAAGTGCTTAATATTTACTCAATAAACTTACAACAACCCATTTTATAGATGTAGAAATTGATGCACAGAGAGAATATGCAAACTAAGTTCATCATCCCAGTTCTCTAAACCTGAGTTTCCTCTGGAATTTCCTATCTTTTACAGGGCCCCAACATCCACTCAGTTCCTCACATCAGAAACCTGGGTGTTCCCTGATTCCTATTCACTCTCCAAGCCCAACAAGTCCTATATTTCCTCCTAAATAGCTCTCCAATCTGTCCTCTCCATCCTCACTAATGACATTTAATCCAAGCCACAATTCTCCCTAGCTTGGATTGCATTAAAACCCTCTTAATGTTCTACCCATAACTCTTCTTCAATAGAGTACCCTGAATGGTCTTTTGAAGACCATCCTGCTTTGGTGACTTTCTATCACCCTTAAGATTGTGTATGAAATCCTGTTACTCTCATCTTCCATAGTGAACCTCTAACGGCCCAGCTCTTTACTGACTGGAGACTCTCACATATGCTGCTTCTCCTACTGGGGACAACCCTCTCTCATTGCTCTGCAACCCCATTCACTTCTCCAGCCATCACACTGCCTTTAGATCTCAGTGGAAATTTCACTCTTCAGGGGGACCATTGTGACGCTCAGTGGAAAATTAAACTCCCTGCTAGACATTGCCGCAGGCCCATGAATGTCCCCCTTCCAAACACTAACTACACTTGTCATTACTGCTCAAGATCAGTCTTCTCTATTAGATTTTACGTCCTTGGAGGCAAGGACTGTGCCTTTTGGTTCATCACTAAATCCCTGGGACCTGCATAGGGCCCAGCACACAGCAGGTTCTCAAGGAATATTTTTCATTTGTTTGCTCAAAACTGGCTCAATGTTAGTTTGCTCAGTTTGTTTGCTGATGCTAGTCTCCTTGCAGATAAGACTTGTGTGACTCATCCTTGTTTTTTTTTAATATTTTATTTGTTTATTTGACAGAGAGAGACAGCAAGAGAGGGAACACAAGCTGGGGGGGTTGAGGGGGTGGGAGAGGGAGAAGCAGGCTTCCCGCTGAGCAGGGAGCCCGATGCAGTGCTTGATCCCAGGACCCTGGGATCATGACCTGAGCCGAAGGCAGACACTTAATGCCTGAGCCACCCAGGTGCCCCCTCATCCTTGCTTTTGTCAAAGTACTTTGTAAGGAGTCCTGCCCACTAAAGATGCTCAATAAATACTTGCTGAATAAAAGGGCCAAGGAAAGGAACATTTTTATCCTGTCCTTCTTTCAAAACTCATGTGCTCTGTTCAAGAAAATGTCCATGCTGTGATAATATAAGAAATATATTTTTTATCTTTGTTCCCAGTTCATAGCATAAAGTTCCCAAATTCCTTGGAATTTTATGAGTGATAAAATTGACAGGAGCATCTTTGTTCCTGACACAGGGCTCCTAAATCCCTTGGAAATTCCTGGGTGGCAGGAGCCTCTGTTCTGCTAGTGAAGAAACTCTTGGTGGGACCCTGGATACCTTCATGGGGCCGGTCACCAGAAAGATTAAGCCTTGATTAGAAGCCTAGAATTTTCAGCCCCACTTCTCAAACTCTGGAGAGAGAAGGGAGACTGAAGGTAAAGTTAAAAACCTATCATACTTACATGATGAAACCTCTATAAAAACCTCTAAGGGACAAGGTTCAGAGGGCCTTGGGGTTGGTGACCACATTCAAATGTTGGGGGGATAGTGCAAACAAACTCCACAGGACAGAAGCACCTGTGCTTGGGACAGGACCCTTACCCTTCTGGACCTTACCCAATGTACCCCTTCATCTGGCTGTTCATTTGTATTCTTCGTAATATCTTTTATAATGAACTGGTAGTAGTAAGTGAAGTCTTTCCTTACATTCTGTGAGCCATTCTAGCAAATTATCCAACCTGAGGAGAGGATCATGGGAACTCCTGACTTGTAGCCAAATCTCTCTGAAGTATGGGTAACACGGGACCTATGACTTCTGACTGGTGTCTGGGTGGGGGGCCGTCTTGTGGATCTGAGCCCTTCATCTGTAGGGTCTGTATTAACTCTGAGTAGTTAATTTCAGCATGGAGTTAAGTTGTAGGACACTAGTTAATGTCTGCAATGAACTAAGGAGTTGTGTGGGGTGGAAAACCAACACATTTGATGTCAGCAGTATTCTGAATTAAAAAAAAAAAAAAAAACAGATCCTAGTAGTACTAACACCAATCAGGTTCCAAATGTCATTGTATATTAGTAAACGCTTTGTTCTTTCCCATCCATGCTCCATCCTGAGGATAGGATGAGGGTTTCCTGAACCTGAGTTCAGGAACAACGAGTTTGCCTGAGCCTGATGTGACGAGGAAGGTGACAACTTTCTTGCATAACCTGCATGGTCTTATCTTATAGTGGTCCAGTTATTTGGAAAGCTAGATTGCCTTAATCATAACTCATTATCCAATTCAAATATGAAATCCCATTTCAAATCACATAGCATTTTTTCTCTGCTGGCTTGACTACTGGCCAACCATGAGAATGAATGACCAAGAGCTAGGGGTAGATGAATCTGTGCTTATTACTCTATACAGGGTTCAGCCCTGAGTCCTGGGCATGAGTCCTACATCCTTGATCTGAGTCTCCTTTGCTTTGTCTCACCACCAGACCTCCAAGAAGAGGAATCATGCTTCTTTCCTGTTCTCTTTGTGGTCAGGGTATAATTTCACATACTCACTTTGTGAGTGGTTCTCACAAAGGTGTAGTGCTGCTCTAGTCTGAACGGGCATCACATAGTCAGGAAGAGCTGCTACCAGTGTAAAAGACAGAGCTTCCACCTGCCATAAGCTAGACATGGGATATAATCACCAGCCCTGAACCAGGCCTGAGCCAGGTGCAATATGGGCATCTCTACCTCCATATTTCTAGTCAATCATCCCCTGCTATGAGGACCTGATATCTGCCTACAGAACACCACTCTGTCCCTTATTCCTGTATGAGGTGAAAGAATCCCAGGGAAGTTCCAGAGAGAAGAGAGAAAGGTATCAAGTGTTCTGGTATTCTTTGAAGCTCCTCACTGCCTTATTTCACAAAAGCCTGGACCTGCTCCTTTCATGATGGACTAACTGCTGTACCATGAGGTCTAGAATCCCTTGGAGATATGAGGTAGGTCCATTCTTCTGGGGACATATATCTTGGTATCCACACCAGTAAATGACTTTTTCCTCCCTCACATCTGCATTGTCCTGGGGTCCCACCCTCGCCCCAAGCAGAGTTTCATAGGTAGAGATCCTAGCACATAGGTCCCTGCCCTCTGTCCTGCTCTGCCTGCTCCAGAATCCCTCTTCCCGTTGTCAACACCCTCCCTTCCTTGTCCCCTCACTGACCACCAGCTCTGCGAAGCGGACATTGAGCTCCTCTTGGTTCGGGATAGGACTTGAAAACTCCATATACTGCAGAGGGTGGTTGTCTCGGAGGTTGATCTCAGGGAGGCCACTGCCCCCAAAGCAGCACAAGAAGCCCAGGCCATGGCGGCTCCTCTTGCGGGGGGCCATGGTCACTCCAGGCCAGGGGCGATAGTCAGCTGGCAGATGCCCTAGGTCCTCATCGTGATCTGGACGGGAGAACAGACAGCACAGAGTGGTCAGGCAATGGCAGCCAGGTAGGCAGGGACAGTGGTCACCAAGCTACCATAACTTCTTTGCCGAACTGTTAGGATCCTTCAACCCAACAATAAAGGCCGCCCTCCCTTCTTTCACAGCTTCTTTCTGTTCTCTCCAGCTCCTTCCACCTATAGGATTCCCTCCCCATCATGCCCTCCAATGTTTCCTGCCACAGACATTTTCGGATTCTCCTTCTATGCCCCCAGAGAACAGAGGAGGGCGGTAGTCACAGAACATGAATTGCACCTTCTCCATGACTGTACAGATGGGTATCCTCTTGCCTGTGTTCTAGCAGAGCCATTTTCAGCAGGGCCAACTCAGTCACTAGATTCATTTTAAGGTGTACAGATGCCTGGTTTAAAGGTTTCATCCAGTGGGGAGGGAAGAGCTGAAGTAGGCTGGCAGGAGAGGTAGCAAGCTAATTTTATGGCATGACTCCTGGGGAGTAGAGGATAGAAGTCTTCAGAGACTCGCAGGGTTTCTGTCCAGTCTATTGTGCCAAGCATGTTTGAATGAATGTGAAATATCAATAGGACATGGGCTCACCACCCATCTATCTAGAAGGAAAGGTAACCTGGGGGAGTCATTAGAGTGAACCTTGAGTTAGGAAATGGAGCTGATCATTGGAACAGTGTTCAGCCAATACTGAAGGAAATCTGGTCAGATTTGTTTTCCATACCAACCAAGAACAGAAGACACCACTTTGGCCAGAGACCAAAACTCATGAACACCCAACACCTTTGTAACAGAAAGGGTTAAGTTTTTAGCTTGCCACTGGGACAGCCTTGTTCAATGGTGCCCCACCTTGGGGAGAAACACTGGCCAGCCCCAGTCATTGATGCCACATAGCTTCTAGATAAAGCCTAACTCCCTGCACATAGGCTTCCCAAAAGGGTTAAAACCACCCTTGACCACTACTGGTTCCTAAACGTGCTTTCAGATAACCTGGGTGGGTTCAGGAGAGCTTACCCACAACACTGCTACCCAGCCATGTTCTCCTCATTCAGTATTTGTATATCCTAATTTTTTTTAACATAAAAAGGATTCTGCCTTTTTCTCTATTATTATCATAGGTCTGGGGTCAGGATTTTTTAAATTATAAAATACACATAACACAAAATTTATCATTTTAACCATTTTTATGTGTATAGTTCAGTACATGCATTCACATTGCTGTGCAACCATCCCTACCATCTATCTCCAAAATTTTTTCATCTTGCAAAATAGAAACTCTGTACTCATTAAACAATAATTTCTCATTTCCCTCTCCCCCAAGCCCCTGGCAACTACCACTTTACTTTCTGTCTCTATGATTTTGACTACTCTAAGTAGCAGTATGAGTAGAATCATAGGAGTAGAATCATACAGCATTTGTCCGTTTGTGACTGGCTTATTTCACTTAAAATAATGTCTTTAAGGTTAATACATGTTACAGCATGTGTCAGAATTTCCTTTCTTTTTAAGGCTGAATAATAATCTTCTGTATTTATATACATTTTGTTTATCCATTCACCTATCAATGGACACAGGTTACTTCCTCCTTTTGGTTATTATGAATAATGTTATTATGAGCATGGGTGTACAAATATCTCTTCACGTTTCTTCTTTCAATGCTTTGGTATGCATAGCCACAAGGGGTCAAGCTACTTTTGAGTCTTGACTCTAAGCTATTTCTCCTAGATTTGATCATTAACAGAAATGATCAGAATATACCCATGGTCTTTACCCAGACCATTGCTAAAAATGTCGACCACAACAAAGATATAGACAGACCCAGATGACCTAGCTACCTCATCTGGGAATGCCAAAGAACTAGTAATCAAGACTCTCAGGGAACAGTCCTTCAACCATCTTGGAATTCATGAACCCATGCTCTTATCTAGCCCTCTTTTCTATAAAGACACCATAGGAGATTTTTCCTGAAGTCTTGTGGAATTTGAGATATACCAAATCTAAGGCATACCTCAGAATGGAGCTCTAGAACCTTACCAGAAAAAGATAAATGTGTCATAACTTGCTCCTAGTGAACCCTAGGTAACTTCTGGAGAACAATGCTTTATTTCCTAAACCCTAACAATCTAGCTAGTAGCAGTCTAATCTGATCAGACCTCTCCTATAAGTCATGATGCATTTTAATTGTCATTCTAGAGCTTTTTCACTGGCTCCATTTTATCTTTCTTTATAAACTCTGTGACAGGCTTTTTAATAGACCCAGGAGAGCCTCAGTTAATACACTGAAGTGGTCTTGTATTATTGGTTATCTTTTTTGTGTTTATGTATCGGCTCTCCACAGGTATAGTGAAGACTTCCTGAGGGCAGGGGCCCATGCTTCCTGCTTCTTTGATACACCTCCCATTTCTATGGCTAATAAAATACCTTGCACTTAGTGGTGTTCAATAAGTATTTCTTGGTCAATTGGGAAATAGCCTGTGCTCATGGAAAAGACAGGCCCTTGTCAATCAGTCAAGAAATATTAATTGAAATCTCTGACTCCTAGCAGTTGATAAGCAATCAGGAACCTTTATAGGGAATAAGGCAAGAAGCCTGAGGCTGGGGATAGGGGAAGAAGCCAGTGGGCTAACTCAGCAATCCTGGTACATGGTGGCAAAGACCTAAAATAGGCTGGCAGCTGAGGAAAATGAAAGAGGAAAGGAGGCTTTTAGGGTTTTCCATGGGACTTGATAGCCAGTAGCCAAGAGTGGGTGAGACAAAGCCCTGGTCTCTGACTATCAGGCTTAGTAAAGCACCAATTCTGCAGGCAGATTGGGGTCAACAACCCTGGGGGTCACCTGCCCATTGTCAAGTTTGGGATAATGCTGCAGAGTACAGACCAATTCCCCTTTGTTTCTTCAGCCTCCAATATGCAGCTGCAGCTGGTGGAGAGGCTGTTTTTTCAGAGCACAAAGCATGAGGACTCTCCCAGAGGCCACAGTGAAGCTGAGTTGACAGTATGATGGGGTTTGGGGGAGGGACGAGCTGATGTCTGGGAGGACCTATGAACTTGCTTCCTGCCTTCACCTCCTCAACTTTTTGCTCCCTAGTCTCCATCCTTGTCTGCTTTGCTCTTCAGATCTTGAGCCAGACTTTCCTAGGAATAATCAGGAGTTGGGGGCTGGATGGGCACACAGTTGGCATACCCTCTTACAGTCTCACACCAGCTGTTTATAGCCATGACTGCTCTGATTGCTCAGTGCCATGCCATACTTGTCATTATATACATTTTAACATCTTCTCTGAGTACGGGAAGTGAGGTGGTGTGGCCTCAGGATGACGGGAGATGGAGATACTAACCTTCCAAACAGGAAGTACCATCCCCACAGCGAAGAGCCTGAGCACCAGGGGTAGTGCTGCATATTTGCCCTTTTAAGGGGCGGCCTGTTTGACAGCTCCCCACTATGCTGATGTTCCTGAGGGTGCCCTACTCCCAATGACTTTTTCTTAAGTCTGTTAGGGCCCCACTTGAACATCGAAGACTAAAACCACAGGCTCTCAGCTGGAACCCATGTAGCTTTACAGCATAGATCAGAAAATTGAGGTCAAAAGAGGAAAGGTCTTCTCTGAGGTCACACAGCTGGGGACAGAGCTGGGATTGAAACCCAACACCAGTGTTCAAGCTGAGGTCTAGAGCTTGTCTTCCCACGTCAGCGGCCCCTTTCCCCATCTTGCTCTAGCTCCACCCCCACCCCCCATTACTTCTCTCCACCAGAGAAGATCAATCTCTGCAGCTTAGTTTAGAACTATCTCTAGTCCTGAAGATGCTGTCCAGGCCGGAAGAGGGTTACGGAGATCCTGAAGACTTCCTTCTTCTCCACCGTGAGGAGGAAGTCTTCTGCTCCCATTTCTCGCCCATCCTTTTCTTAGGCCTCCTTCACCTCAGCAATTTTCCAAGTCAGATGACTGGGATTTGACTTCTGGCTTTGCCTTCCCAGCTGGGTGACCTGGGAGCATATTTCTCAGAGCCTCAGGTTCTATGACACCAAGATAATCACAGCACCTTCCTTGGTGGGCTTCAGTGAGAGTCAGTGCAGTAATGTAGATAAAAGGTCAGAGCACACTGGGCACTCTCTAGAGGAGGCCGGCACTGCTGTTGTGACTTTGTTATCATTATTGCCCAGCCAGGCAACGCTTACCCTGCCCAGACAGAGCCTGCAACCACAAGCCCTTTCCAGGCACAGCTGGGACCACCAAGGCCTGGCATTGTAGGAATCTGCTCAGCCTGATTTAAGAAGCCACCCAGCTTTGCCTTTGGCCCCTGGGGAGTCTGGACCTGAGGGGCTGGGCTTTTCTTCAGGCTCTAAGCTAGCTCTTGTTGGAAGGGGAAACCGTCATCCCTGATGCTGGGCAGGGAGTGGAAAGGCGAAGGGGGCCAGAGTGTTCCTTTCTGCAAGATCACTTCACAAAGAGAAGCAATGGAAGTGCCCACCTTGAAGAAAAATTGAGGAGCAATATGGAAAAATGAGAAGCAACAATAGAACAAGACCCAGTGGACTTAAACCCCAGCAGAGGGATTCAACCCACCCCTACCACCACCCACCTTTCTGTCCGTGAAAATTCACTGAATACCAACACCTCCGTGCACTCTACATCCTGTCTCCTTGCCCCCTCCTCTTCTCCCTGTGGGAACAAGGTTTTCGCAGGCCTGTGGGTCCCTAAACACAGACTAATTGGCCTAAAACAGCAAACCATCAATGAGGAAATAGCCTTCCTGTGAAGACTGTAAGGACCCTTTCAAGTGTCTCCTCCAGTCCTCCGGCTCCTGCCAGACTTTACCTCTTTACTCACATCCTTCTACATCATGGAGAGCACATACCTAACTCAGGAGATGGGGGCTAGTCCCAGCTCTGGCACTATCCAGACGTGGGTCAGGGGGCCACAGTTTTAGCCTCTCTGGGACTCGGTTTCCTCTCTGTGCAATGGCAGGGCCTGGTCAGCCATACTGTTTGGCTG